GGGGCATGTATGTGCGGGCAGGAGTCACCATAGGTCCATGGAGTCACTGCAGGTTGGAGGTTCTCGGGAGTTCGAAGTATCTCGATAATTCAGAAAAAAAATTACTCCAAAATACAGAAAAAACTAAATTTGTAAGAAAAACAGAAAAAATGATTTAAAAAATAAATTACTCTTTTTTTTTTTTGTTAAGTGAATGCGATATGCTTCCGAAGTAACTAGTAGTGTAACTTATTAATAGTATATTTCAGTAATAATATTACAGTTACAGTCCCTAAAAATAAATTTTCTTAAGGATTTTAATTACATTTTACATTTTACATTACATTTATTTTCAGTCTGATTTTTGGGGAGAAAAGACACAATTACCAGTTTTGTGAGGCATAACAGAAAGGTAATATAATTAGTAGTGTAACTAATTACTGGTGGCAATAGTGTAGGTCTTTTATTTTCTAGTAAAAATTAAAAACATTGATTGGTAATGACTTGTCAATTGGGGATATATTTTTACCTATTTTTCATTCTTAATTAATTTTTAATAGAATATATTTTAACAGTTTTCACCGTTTTCAAACAGAGAAAAACTTGGCAAATGAATCAATAATGAAATGAATTGTTAGTTGCAGGTCTATAAAAATAAAACACATTTTCACAAGAGAAAAGAAAACTATCATATATTATATTGGTTCATAGTGTCATTTTCTTTATTTTATTTTCCCTTTTGTGTATTAGAACAGGAAAATTCTATTCCATACTCATTTAAATTACATTAAACACAATTTATGTGTATTAAAATGAACGCTTGTGCATATTTATTGTGTTCAATTCAATAGCAAACAACCTGTTTTATTCAGCGTAAACGTAAATGTTTCACCTTAGAAATAATCTTGAACTTGTAACCCGCTGATTACACTTGCTATGTGGTTGAAAGCTCAGTAAAAAGCGAGTAAGTGGACCTTTAGGTTGCTTAAAGTGTAAATATTTGAATGGAAAAACAAATTTGCGTGTAAGAATCAAACCTGGCAACCAACCATCTCCGCTCTGAAACCTGTCCGGACAACAACCTGCTTTACTTATTCATTAAATTATATAAACCAGATATTAAAACCCCACATTGACGCTAAATAATTCACTAATTAATGAATTAACTGCAAACACACTTTGACGGTAACCGACGCGGGATTTGCTGAGACGGAACTGGTTCCGGTGGTTGTTTCCGTCGGACCACTATTGGCGACGAGCGGAACATTCAAGCAGCAAAAATCCAAAATCACACATTTTTAAACTTCTTTCTGTAATTAAAGATAAAACATGGGAGAACAACCAGTGAGAGTGTAAGTCTTTATTTACATTTAAACTTCTGTCATCCGGTTAAATGCTGTGCTTGAATCTGGGCTCGTTTTTATTTTTATTTGTATTTATCTTTACCATTCAGTGTCTGTTGATTTCAGTGTCTGTTGATTTCAGTGTCTGTTAAAGATTATAAAAGCCTTCGTGGACTTTCCGGACAGCTGAGGGCTTCTTATAAAACTTTAAAAGTAGGTCAAGTTGTGTCATTTGCGAGCAGTGTAGAGTGAACCCAGTACGAAACGCGACCACCTGCGCCGAACCCCATTCAGATTTTATATGATTTAAGGCCGCGTTACTCTTCGGCTCGTTTGTACACATCGTAAGATTTAATGTGGAAGCAGAGGCGATGTTGATAAAGTGGACTGAAGAATTCGGCGAACATTAAGTTCACCAAAATGTATTCACTGTCAGAGATTTTCAAATCTGCCTCCTGAACATTTTTAATCACTTTTGGAAGCTCATTTCTGCCAATGTGACAACATAAAGGATTCTGTGAGTGTTTATAATGAGAAACTTTATCAAAATAATGAGAAATATTGACTAACGAAGACAGGATCTCTAAAAATATTGCCATAACGTATGAATAATTCCAACACCTGTATTGAATTCGGGTATAAATAATTTGAGACAACAGCAATTAGCAAAGGCAAGTTATTCACATATTCGGTCACACCGATTAATTTTGCTACTGAACTCACTAACTCATCCTGTTAACTATTGTTTTTCCATGAGGATCTATTCTTTGTCTATTCCCTGAAAGTGTGTCACCGGGACACTACAATATCACTTTTGTTGTTGTAGCTTTACTTTATTTGACCTGATATGTTTTTAAATTGACATCATTCATCTATTCTCACTTTTATATCCTCGTGTGGTTCTGATACATTGAAGACCTAAACAGTAAACCTCGCAACACTCCATTCCTATTACATGATAATGTATACCCCTGGTGTTATACTCCCAATCTTTTTAACTAAAGTGTTCCTCCATTATTTTGAGACCTA